GATAGTTAACCAGATTAAGTGTCCTCTGGAAGCCTAATACCCCCTTCAAGGGATGTATCACTTCTGGTATTTTGAAGGTGTGTTAACCTAGACACACGAGAACGACAGACAGAACTGGTTTAAATAAACCCTTTCTCTGAAGAAGTCCCAGGCCTGGGGCAGGACAGCCCACCAAGACCTGCCCAGCTAGGAATTTGTGATCAGATCCCCCATGAGGTTACTTTCCATGGAACCCTTCTTGTTCTGTCTGTCCAGTCCCCCCTTTTGGTCGTGAATCGATCGAAGGATCCGTTGGTGAACAACCTTCTGGTCAGAGAGCGTGGCCTCACAGCAGTGGGAAGGCTCATCCTAGGAAGTCTCAGTACCCACGTCATCTTATTGTCCACTGGGGATGGGGCGATCGGGAGAGGCTCAGTTCTTCCAAAACGGGAAGGGCAGGCGGGTGGAATGCAGTGAGGTCTTACGGCTTTCATGAAGCGGGTGGCGGGGGGGGTGGCTCTGGATCTTTCTATCTTGGGAACTGTCATGACCTGAGTTTTGCCTTCTGGCTCCTGTATCTGCAATTGGCTGGAAGAGCAAGCAGGGTCCTGCTGCCTGCTGCCACCCTCCAGGCAGAATTCCAGAGGCAAAGGTCTAGGGGTAAAGGAGAGGGTCTGTTTTTAAAAGCATCACAATTTTGAGTAACAGCTTTCCACGGGCAGTAGTCACTTGGGCCTATGAATTAAGGCTCAAGTTTTTAACTCTTTAGTTACAGCTTTAATCACTTAAGCCTGTCAATGAAGGCTAAACTCTTCAGGACCTGAGTTCTCCTGTCATTCCCCTTGTTAGTTTTAATTATCTTATTTCTATAAGGTTGGTTTACAAACTAAAACAGCATAAGATACAAAAGCTACACAATTTTGGAAGATATAACCCTCTAATGGCAGGCTTCTGCCTTAGAGGTTGTCCCCTCTAGAACAACCAAAGAAGAATAACCCTGCTGCCCCCTGCTAAGCCAGTCTGATCCTAGGCTGTGCCCAGAGTTCTCTCCCATTCAAAGTACCACCCCTTGGAAAATTCAGGCAGCTGCAGCACGATCACCCAGGCACCCTCGAAGAAGAAAAGCCTGAGAACCCTTCTTTTGTTCCAAATCTCACCCATAATTCCATGGGCTCTGGAGGCATTCAGCTTCTCAGCCAATCCCATTCTGAGCTGTTCACCAGTGCCTCAGGCAACTCCTGTGGCCCCTCCCTGCTTCTCCCCAGTGATTTGATCTCTCTGTGTCGGTATTGCATTTATATAAGCATGAAAAGAACATTATTGGTTATCTCATACATGTTCAGTGATCATAAATAGTTGGACTGTATAGAAAAACCCAATGGACAAGTGTAACTATTGTTACGGCTAATCACTAGCGGACAGGTGAAGACGAACAGAGTTGGGTTCTGAGTTCAGCATCAGTCCATGGGTGTGCTGGCCTTGGGGACGTCTTCGGCGGTAGCTGCCTGCCTCTGGCGCCGGCCAAGCATTTATGACGTCCGTAGACGAGGTAGATGTCCATTTGCGGTTAGGAGAGGTGGGAGAGTGTCCTTTATCTGACGTCCTTCCCAGTGAACAGAATGTCCAGGTAGTGGTCAGATGACCTTTACAGTCTCGTCTCGTCTTGTCTCCTGGGAGCCTGGTTTGTAACGCAACAGTTGGGTACAGATCTCACCCCAGAGGAATTTACAATTTACATCTGCCCCTGTCACGTCCAGTTTCAGATGACCTTCCCCTTTCAAACTGAGGACAGCCACTTTTAACGCCTGAGAGAACTGGGCCGATCCCTGAAGGACATCATAGGTTGATCCATTTACCTAAATCCTCCTTTGGAGCTTCAAGAGACCAGTTAAATCTGTTTCTCCAGTCATTCTGCTTGCTTTTAAAGCTGGCCTTTTCTAACTGTGCATGCAAGAGTTTAGTTTAGAAGTATCAGAGGACCCTTACTGTGGCCATCTTAGGTGTAAACGGGAGGCTGGCCATGGTGGTGCTTGTGGGCCTCAGAGGCAGGAGTTTCCGCGTGGATTTTGAGATCTGGAGAGTGGACAAACTTCCGGGGAAAGCAGCCCATCCCTGCCTGCGAGGTCTCCAGATGGGCCAGTGCTGTAGCTGTCCCTAGGGAAAGATTTCCCTCAGGCAACCCCGTACAGGTCCTTAGTCACCTAAGAATGCCCGAGCAAGCGCCAGCGAGACCCCGGCCTTGCCCAGGCTCAGGCCCCGGCCCAGGCCCCTCTCCAAGAACCAGCCCCAGGGCACCCTCTGCAGAGCTCTCCTGGCTAACCGTTCATCTCACTTGACATGTGTGTGCACTGGAGTCAAAGCCAGTGTCCTCAGTTGGAGCCCGTCTCTGCATTGCAGCTGAACACGGCTGAGAAAGAGAGTAAACCCCAGCTTCCTGCCCTGGGGTCCTCATTCGGCAGGTGGCTCACCTCTCACCCCCAGGCCAGATCCCTGTTCTAAATGGCATTGGATCCAGAGAGACTGCTGTTTGGGGTAACTAAACCCGGCAAATTCATTAAAGTAGTATTTCAAATTAGTCTCTAGTGATCCCAAATACGGCAGGTTTTTACTGTCCTTCATTTTCACTCCTTTCTGCTGCTCTTCTGTGATGCTCCTGTCTTTCTCCTACTCAAACGTGCGTGCACGTGGTCCCGCCCTGCGGACACGGTCTCACTGCAGGGTCTGTCCTCCGCAGTTTTTCTGTCTTCCCTCAGAGAGGTGAGCCCTCACTCCCATCTTACTGGGGGCACAGAGGGACACACACTGATACGAGCATAAGTCCCCACGGCAGCAAGAGATTGGCAGTAGGAAACCTGGATGTGGTTTAGTCTCAGCTACACAGGAGACTCGGGCCGCTTTGGAAGGGTCTGGAGACTAAGAGCTGCGGGAGTTAGATTAAAGCACCTTTAGCTGTGAGGGTGGGAGGGAGCAACGCTGGTGGCTTGGCGAGTCCTGACTTAGGGCCAGACTGGGAAAGAGCAGTCCTGTCGCAGTCTCTGTGTGCATTTAACTCTTTTCTCTAAATGGAACGTTGCATCAGAATCTCGGGGCTGAAATTATTCACACACACACGTGAAATCCTCACGTGTAGCCAGGTGAGAGAACCACGGAGGATCACTCTCCAAACCGTCTTCACTGGTGGGCGGATGAATGGGTACAGCAGGGATCCCCGCTTTCAAAGCATCAGAATCCTTCCATTAGCAATTAAATAATCTTTATTAAAAATAATATAAGTTGTCAGTACAGTGGAGGACCAACCAAGTGGTGCAAATGCATGGTGAAAAGATGGTTGAGTACTGGGGAAACTTATTAATATGTTTCATCGTATCTTTAAACAGCTGTTTCATTCTCTCATTGGTAGTCCAGAAATGAAATGCCTAGGTCATATAATCTCTCTATACTCATAGTTTAAAACAGCATAGTCACCCTGCCCTAACATTTTATGTTTCTCTAACATTTTACGTTTGCTCTAGTGAACGACTCTCAGAGAATTGAAAAGTAGATCGGCAGAGTATATTTTAAAGGGGCCACCACAGATCAGGTCAGAAAGATTAGTTGTGATTTTGGAACAATTTGTTCGCTGCAGTATCTGGGTAAAGCGTATGTTTGGCTCTTTACCATACATCCTACGCTAAAGAAATTGCAGATGGGTAAAAATTAGATACAGATATTTCTCTGAACAGTTTAAAGAAAAAATAGATTTCTGGAAAAAGGGGGATTAAGTCTTCAAAAAGAATGAAGGAAATCACAAAGAAGAAGGCCAGTGCTTATAATTAAAACTGACAACTTAAATACATCCAAATAAAATTATCAAAAGCAGATCTACCACCCCCCCCAAAACTGGGAGCCCTTGACGCAGGAATGGTCCCTTGCTGGGGACAAGCACACGCATGTGGATAATGTTGCACACGTTCCGAAGTGGACACCACACTGTGCTCTGGAAGGGGAAGATGTCTTTACAGGATAGTCGTGAACCGAGGCAGGTCATCTGGACCGCCGTGTTCTGTGTGAGGCCCTTGGCAACATCAGGGGTTCTGGTCACTCTTGATGACCAAAGGTCGTAGCCGAGGAAAGTGGCTGTTTTGCCAGGGGAACCCTCAGATGAGCGTGAATAATCAAAAGCAATTTGCCCCCATTGAGTGCTTCCTACCATTGGCCTTTTCTTTCTTACAAAAACTCACGAGACACCCTGGCCGGTGGCTCCCCTGGTGGGAAGGTCCATCCCATACACCAGAACACTGCAGTTTGAGCCTCGGTCTGGATCCTCGGTCTGGACACGAATGGGAGGCAGCCCATCCATGTTTCTCTCTCACGTCCGTGTTTCTTTCTATTCCTCTCTCTCAAATTGATAAACACGTCCTTGAGTGAGGATTAAAAATAAAAAAAAGATTCACGAGGCATATTCTAACACACACACACCCTTACCGTTCTGACGCTCCTCTGCACTTGCAGTTACCAGTGGAGCGTGAAAGAGGTAAACAATATGAGGACAACGGAAACACGTGGCCCAGACTCTCGACTTGGCGCTGGCTGGCAGCCTTTTCCGGACACTGGGAGATGACATAGCATCCCCTCCCCATGATTAACTTCTTGCTTTCTCGACACCTTTTTATCCAGTTTCTGAGTTTCTTGGGCCTTTGACTTTGGACTGCCTCCTGCCTGCTCTTCTGGCCAGCTCCCTGCTGACCAATGCCTGTCTCCCAGAGTGGGCGGGGGAGATTAAAAGCCCTGCGATTCAACCGGTCTTGTTTGCTGTTTGATGGCAGCTCTGATGAAAAGTTCGGTGGGGCCAATTGAAATTTTGGCATTACGTGGAGTTGGGCGGGGGAGGTGATCTGTGGGGTTCATTCTTTATATTTCTGTTTGCCGTGGCTGACCTTGGCTGTATCGTCCCTGGGGAAACAGATACAAGGGAAGAGAGCAGCAGGTTGATGGTTTTGCATCTTCACTGTGCACATGGCTGGTCTTTCTCTTTATTTTAGGCGAGTGTGACATCCTGGTGGGCTGGGTGACCCCCGATCTCTTACAGCTCTGTGTTCTGCGGTCCCCGCCCCCAAGGTCATGAAACGAGTGCGCACCGAGCAGATTCAGATGGCAGTGTCCTGCTACCTCAAACGCCGGCAATACGTGGACTCGGACGGTCCCCTGAAGCAAGGACTGCGGCTGTCACAGACTGCTGAGGAGATGGCAGCCAACCTGACAGGTAAGCGCGGGGGCCACCCAGGGCGGACAGAGCCGGAGAGCCGCTGTCAAGCTCCGTGAGCCGTTACCCTCTGCTGGAGATGGTGCCCGGGAGAGCAGACTGCCCAGCAGCCTGGGGCGGCGGCGGGTGCTGGCCTCCCGGACACCGTCGGTCCTTCAGAGCCATGCTCACATGCTGCTTCTCCAAGCCCCTGTCACCCTCAGAGGGCTGAATAATTGTATCTATACCTGATGTTAAAGTGCAACTTTTCCTCCCACAAACCCTTACCCCGCAAGACCCACCGGGTCACGGTCTCAGTCCCCGTCCTGCATGGGGCCCTGCATGGGGCCCTCCCCGGAGCCCGGCCCCGCCCCGCCCTGGAATCATGTTTGCTTGGTGAGTGAGTTACACGGGCATCAGTGGCTGGACATAGTGACCACATAGATATATGTTCCTGAGGGGGTTTTTTTGGTAATTTGAGGGTTTGGTGCTTTGTTTCGAAACTGGGTTCCTTTATAGAAAAATTTGCCTTGAATTCATCTGGAGCAGTGATTTCCAACCCTTTTTCATCTCATGGCACACATGAACTAATCACTAAAATTCTGCAGCACACCAAAAAATATAATTTTTGCCAATCTGACCAAATAAAATAGGTATAATTCTTATTCATTCACACCGGACGGCTGTTGTTGTGCGGGCTGTTGTCGTTTCTGTACTTGACAGGCTGAGGGGAATGAGGTCAGTGCCCCAGACTGCACAGTCGGCTGTGGGGTGGTTTCAGAGTTCTTCCGGCACACCAGTGTGCCGCGGCACACTTGTTGAAAGTCACTGATCTGCAGTAACAAATAAGTGCTACTTAGCTGTTTTGTGAGTTCAGCTTCTTGTGTGGATATAATTTTTCTGTATAGAATTTGTGCACTGGAGATTTGGGGGGGGGGTGCCCTGCAGTGCTTTTAGGGTGATTGTGAACATCTTCCGTGGGAATGCGTGGAGTTGAGTTAGCGGTGCTTTCTGCAGCTCAGCCCTGGTTCCTCTCATCTGCTCGCTCCGGACCCTTCTCTCTTTGTCCTGTGCTTCCTCCTGCTTTTCCAAGTACCTCTCGCCGCCTCCTAGTGGTTTCAGCCTGCGTGCTGGTAGCAACAGATACCACAGCTGCCCCCTGTTACCTTCAGGGTCAAGGATGCAGACCCTCCGTGCTCTGAGTGTGTGTTGCCCTGGCTGTAGAAAACCTGAGGGTGTCCCCCGAAGAACGGTTCCTGGACCCTCTGAGACCGTGGAAGCAGCTCAGTGGGGCATCTGCCTTCCCGCCCCTCGCCACTGAAGCCGCCTCATTCCTCCATTTCGTCAGCTTCCATCGGGTCGCGCTTGCCACAGACAGGGCCGGGTGATGGGCTCGAGATGAATTCATCAGTGGCTCATGGTTCCCAGTAGGGTAGCCGGTTTACAGGCCAGAGTAGTTCCTTCCGAACCTGCCTTCAGAGCCTTTAGTGTGCACAGAGAATCTCCGGCTGCCCTGTGCGCGTTGGAGCCAGGGACAGTGATTCTGTGCAGTTGCTGGTAGGAAGCAAGAGCCAGAGCTGCTGGACACACGTCCCGAACGTCACCCTTCAGGTTGTCTTAGTCCGACAGAATGGTTTATTGGGAGAGTCGCTCTGCCGGGAAAACCACCAGGAGATGTGTCATAACGTCTTGTCCTAGGTCTTTCTGTTAATCCAGTAATCTGAATAATTAAGTCTTCATTCAGCAGATAATTATTGAACATCTGCTGTAGGCCACGCTGAAAAGTTCTAAAGAGAGCGAAAATGTGATCCCAGCTCCCCAACAGCGTAACTCGGCAGTCGGAAATGAGGCGGATAAATCAGCCGTTGTAGCAGGGTGTGGGGGAGCGAGTTCAGCACAGGGCGATGCCTCGGGCTCTGTAGGAACAAGGAAGGCGGTGACCTGAATTAGCCTGACCGGCCAAGGAAGGCTTCCCAAAGCCTCACAGTTCCTAGCATACAGGCAGGGGTCCATACATAGTCCAAGGAATCACTAGTTGCTGACCAGGGGGGCAAGTTGGGGGAGGGTGTCCCAGGTGTCTGGCGTGAATGCCAGAGAGATCACTGGCGGCTCTGCTGATTGGGGAAGGCCCGCATGAGAAGAAGCAAGGGAGCTAGAAGTGAGGGCAGCCTGAGTTAAGGAGGTGGTCACAGCCCTGGAGAGGGGAGGTGTTCGGAGTAGAGGGCTTGGTGATTGATTGGCCCAGGTGGGGACAGCATGAAAGAGAGGGAGGAGACCCTTCTTCTGTGTCAGCCTTCCAGCGCACCCCCCTGTTTCCGGCTGTCTCTGGGTTCTAGTGGAGAACCGGACTTCTGCGTGACCCCCTGCAGGTCACGGCTTCCTCAGCCCTGCTGCGTAACTGCCACTCCTGCATCCATATTCCATCATCTGAAACGTAGTCATGTTTCGTCCAGATTGTTATTATTACAAACGGCTTCTCTCAGTCCCAGTGCTCCCCTTCCCCTGCAGAAAGGGTAAGGGAATTTTGTTTTTCTTTTTAAAAAGCACAAACTCACAGAATGGAGATTAAGTGCCTACTTACATACTGAGACTCCAGCCTTCTTCCTCCCATTCCTCTACCCAGAACACTAGCAGCCAGGGGCGTGCCCTCCAGGAAGGCATTTAAAAGATTCTTCCCTGGTGAGTGTGACCTGCCCGAGAGAAAAGAGCTAAAGACTCTGACTTTGGGGAAGCGCTCATCCGGGTCGTCCTGGGCGATGAGCGCATGCACAGAGCTCCATCAGCTCTGTGGTGCCGTCCAGCTCCGTGCCCACAGCCGGGGAGGCTCAGGCCCCGGGAGAAACTGACCTACCGAGTGTGAGAAACAGAGATGGAAAGGAACAGTGAAAAGCAACTTGAATCAGGCAAACAGCAGAGAGAAGAATAGTCAAAAATACTGTCGTCGGTAGGCTTGAAATGAGGAGGGAATACTATTTTAAAAAACAACATTCATAGAACAAAAAAATTATAGATTTAAATACATAATAGGGAAACTGAAAAATCAGGAGAGTTGAAAGCTGAAGAAGCCTCCCAGAAAGCAGAGCAGAAACACAAGTGGAGTGTGGGAGAGGAGGTGAGAGGGTCGGTTCAGGACATCGCACCTGGGAGTGGTAGCAGTGCTGGAAAGAGAAAATGGGAGAGAATCAGCGAAATGATTCAAGAAAAATTTTCAGAACTGAAGGACATGATTTCCAGATGGAAAGGGCCCAGTAAACACCCAACACAATGGTTGAAAGTAGACCCACACCAAGGCACATTATTGTCAAATGTGGGAACATGGGGTCATATGCTTCCAGATAAGTCTCTCATGAATGTATGGGCCTACCCTCTCTCGTTCAACTGATTTATTCCATGAATTTATGCCTCTTCCTTCCCCTGCTGTCATTGTATTGGGCATCGGGAGGGAGAGGAAATAGATGTGTAAAATCGTGTGGCACATTGAACCAGAAACCCACAGCACTGTGAAACTCCACTGAAATGTCAGTTGCTGTCAATGCAGACTCAGCGCCCTCGCCCATCCAGCCTGCCGCGTGTCGGGTTAATCATTCTCTTCCCCATCCCCATGTGTGTGTCTTTTCCTCCTCAGTCCAAACAGAATCTGGCTGTACCAACATAGTGTCTGCAGCCCCCTGTCAGACGGAGCCCCAGCAGTACGAAGTGCAGTTTGGACGACTGCGGAATTTCCTCACCGGTGAGTCCGCAGCGCTAGGAACCTTATCTTGTTAAGAATGAGTAATGCAGATTTCCCGCAGAACCTGTTATATTCCAGGTGTTTCTTTGGGTACTAGAGATTCAAAGGTCGTTTAACTCAGTTCTTGCCTCAGACTTACGGTTTGTGGGAATTTTGGATAGAGTCCAATCACAAGGTTGAAATTTGCAAGGGCTAGGGCTCTGGGCGTTTCATTCACTGCCTTGCCCATGGCCCTCACAGTGACTGGCTTGTGTTGAGTAAGTGACAGCTAAATCAGCCATGCAGAGAAGCATGTTTAAATGCAACATGTTTGAAATGTACACTGATGTCTCTAATAATACAGAACGTATCGCAATGGCCTTTCCCCTTATCTCCACAAGTGCAAGACAATAGTCTTCGTGACCCAGCAAGACAAAACAATTAGAAGTTGTCATTTGGATCAGCTTGCGGGTGGTGTCATGGCCACTGGAACACATGGTCAGTAGACGGGAGTTCTAATCAGTTCTCCCGATCACCAATCACCGTGTGACTTTTTAAATTAATCACTCTTTATTTAAATGGAGTCACTCAGCCTCTCTGGGGCCTCTGCTTCTTCATATGTGACATGAAGAAGGCACTTGAAAGGGGAAACCAGCTGATTCCGTCCAGTCCTGAAATGACTGATTATAACTTTTATCTTGGGAAGATGGTTGCAGTGAAAGAGACCATGTCAATTCTAGTTACCAGTCAAAATCTGTTGTCGAGTACTTTCTTTATAGAAAACAACTCGAGGTGTAAGAAATACAAAACATTCTCCACCCTCAAAGGACCAAGAGTAATGAATGTGTATTGGTTAGTGGGAAATTATAGTTAAAATACTTTGAGTTGTTTTATTTTTATTTCCTTATTTGAGTAATCCTTATATTACTCGATATATAGTAATTTTTTACTATATTACTCAATCCTTATATTACTCAAATATAGTAATTTTTAATGGTGAAGATGTATTTAAAGTGTCAGTATGTAAACCAAAATAATATACCTATTTTACACCTGCTTAGAGTTGTCCTAACTTTACGTGACCCTCATTAACAGTCGGTATTTTAAAGGCAAGAGTCCACTTTTCCTGTGTTCTGTGGTTGAGGGAAATGGCCAAAATGTTACAGGAAATAAAGTGCAAAATAAAACCCTAGAGAGGGTTATCTTACTGATCTCACAGTTGTTAAGTGATGAACTCATAAGTAAAGACTAGACTGTTACAAAAATGAAAAAATCATAGAGATTAAGGGTTTAATAAAGACGAGTCTATTATGTTTAACTGGAAAGAAGGAAATTCCATTCAGATCCTCATATCATATGAATATTAAATATCTCAGAACAGTGGTCAGCTGCTTTCCATCTCCACTAAGGATAAAAAAAAGAAAAATTGAATTTATAAGAAGGATTTCATTCAGAGGTAAGCAAGAACTTGAAAATAATTAGTTATTTTTAATCATTGACATTGGTTTTTAAAGCTTTAAGCAGTTTTTAAATTTTTAAATCCGTTTTTAGAGAGCTGATTTTCTGGGTTTTTAAAAAATGATTACTGCATCTCCATGATGGATTTCTCTCCCCATTCTGCTGGTGGGAAGCTGGCTGAGGAGGAAGGAAGCTTAACGCAGCCTGGCCCCATCAGCCCTTCTCTCCATTCATCCAGCCTGTGTTCATGTTTGTGCCGACTGCTTGCCAGGCTAGATACTGCAGTAAAGTGTATTGATCACTAGTGTGATTTATCCTGACGCAAGGTTTTCTGTTCATATTTACCTCTTCTGGGCTCTTGATGATTTTCTTAAGTATTTGCCAGAGCACCTAAAGGGGAGCCATCTACCCCTTGGATCCGATAGCGCGGTGTTTTTCCTGACACGTGACCCCTTCTTTGTCCTTGTCTCTGTGTCCCTTGCCCGGAACTTGACATTCCAGTATGTTACAGTGTGGGCCTTTTTCTCTGCAGTTTCATGTCTTGTTTAAAAACTGAGAAAGCTGTCTGTTCTAGTCTCGATAATTTGATTTTTTAATCCATTGGTCACAGAGTATTTGGAAGGGGTGAATATATGTTTTTCCTTACAAACTGCTTTGCCTGGAACATTTTTCTCTACCTTCAGGTCTCTGAAGAGCAGTCAGCCAAATCAAATGAGCAGGTATTTCCTGACACCGAGATAAGACATAACGTGTAGTCACTCGTCCAAGTGGGACGCTGACCCTAGTATAAGAAGTCTAAAAGTAAACGCTTTAAATCAAATTTAAGTTTGAACACAGAAGTGCTTTCCCAGACCAGTGTGAAATCACTCGCTGAATGTTGCACATAGAGAAGTCGCATTCGAGGGAAAGGAGGAGCTGATGTAGACGCAGGAAGTCAGAGAAGGCCTCCCTGAGGAGGAGGGGAGGTTTGAGTTGGCGCTTGGAAAATGGGCTGGATTTCTGTAAACTGTGGAAGAAGAGGAGTGGGAGGACACGGGCACCTGGTAAGACATGAGCACAAGGGTCAGATGGCAGAGGTGGCCTTCTCTGTGCAGGGACAGTGAGGGATTCGGCTTTGCGGAGAAAGGACCGTTCAGCCTGGAGATAAAGTCAGACACACGAGTCCGAACCTCATCCTGCACGCTGGAGACGACCGTGGGCGTGGCTATTCGTCTGAACGCAGTTTGGGGTGTTGGGGGGCGGTACTAAGAAGCCAGCCTGGACTCCACTGCAGTGCTTAAGCAGTGCGGTGAATAAGGAGCAGAACCCGACAGTGTTGTGGGAATGGAAAGCCGGTCTTGATTTCATATTTAAACTCACCGAGGTAAGACTCTCCCAGCAGTAAAGGAGGAAGGAGAGCTGAGCCTGCTTCAGGCTCCGTTGCTGGGAGCGGAAGCACATAGAACAGAAGTAAGACCCTGGCTCCTGGGAGGTGGGCGCACACTCAGTGCTCATTCCTGAGAGTGCAAAGGAGCCCAAAAGTGGAGAGGTGGAGTCAGGGAAGGTGAGTGGTCAAGCCAGGTGCTGCGGTAGGTGTTAGACCAAAGGACAAGGACGCCGTGGTCAGTGAGGTGCAACCCTGCAGGGAAGCAAAGGAGAAAGAAGCCGGATGAGCTCCGTTTTGTTTGAGTTGGTGTCCTTTTCGCCAGGAACCTCTGCGAACTCTATGAGAAACTCCATTTTCCTCATGTTTACCAGCAGCAGAGTAGAGTGCAACGTAGACATTCGTTACGTAATTCAGTGTCTAGATGGATGGATGGGAGAAAAGGCACACTTTTCAGAGGATTGTTACTTTGTAATTAGAAAAAACACATACTTGAAGCCAGAGTCCAAATGAGAGTTAAGACTCAATGTGTTTCACTTTGCTCCACGTATAGAATAAGTTGGTTAAAATTTATTTTATACCTAATATGCTGTTCTCTTCACACAAGAGAGAAAACTTAAGCAGTTTTGAAACTACAAGCTGAAACAGCAGTGAATTTCAGTAAGTTTTAAAGCAGTGCACCCCTGTCTCTTGATGGCTAGGTGTTTTCCCTAAACTTCAGTGTTAGAACCGCTCAAGGAGTAGAGGTGGGAGGAGCCAGACGATCAGGTCCAAGTGCTTTTATTGGCTGGTTGAGCCACTGCAGCCCCGAGGGAGGCAAGAATGGGCTTTTTCCAGGAAAAGTGCCTTTGAGGTTGGGGAATAAGGGAGGGGTTAGTCTGTTGTTCTTCTTCTGGACTGTTGCCTCAGGGTTTCAGGATGTGAGTCAGGACCTTGGGTGGTACAGGGCGGGTTCCCAGGTGCAGAGGGTTCATCTGACCACTGGCCGTTGTGGCTGGCACCAGACTGTGCAAGATGGGAGAGTTTTGATGAAGTCGAGAGCCATCAGAGTCGAGACAACTGCATTCCGGCGGGTCGGAAAAGCTGGCTTAACCCTTTCATTCACCAAATTAAATGCCTTTCACTTGGAAAATAAGCCTAAACTCAGATTTTAAAGAGTTGAAAACAATCTTTCAACCCAATAGAATATATAGGAAGTCTAATTGGTAAGCATGGAGTCTTTATTTTTTAATCAGTATTTGGGAAAGAAATTTTTCCACGGCCTTCAAAAAACTACAGTGTTTAAAGAAGTATCAAAAGGTGTATTAGACAGTATTCTCCAGAAAAATAGAAAGATTTATTTTAGGGAATTGGCTCGGGATTGTTCAGTTTAGCAGTTCCAGATCAGCAGGCCAGAGACCTGTGAGGAGTTGCAGTTCAAATCCAAGGGCAAGGGAACAGTGGGGGTGGCCAGATGCCCTCTTCCAAGGAGGTCAGCCTTTGTTCTATCAAGGCCTCCAACTGGTTGGAGAGGCCCCATTCACAGTACGATGGAGGGTAATCTGCTGTACTCAAAGACTGCTCATTTAAATGTTAATCTCATCTAAAAAACTCCTTCACAGAAACATCTAGAATAATGTTTGACCAAGGATCTGGGCATGCTGGTTCAGCCATGCTGACACAGAAAATTGACCATCACGAGGCCACTGCCCCCCCCACCACCGACCCCGACCCTGACCCCATCAGCTTTGCACCCATGTCCATCTCTTAAAGTAAAGACAACAAGCAAGGCTGTGATGTCGCCTAATGTAATGCAGCTCTCCTGAGCGCACTAGCCCCTTCCCCAGAAGAGGCAGCAGAGTTCTTGGGTGGTGCTCACTCTTCTCCTGATACCCCCTTAAATACCGCATGTGAAGTTAACAATACTGAAATACTACAATATAAAGGCAATATAACTTATGTTACATGATAAGGAGAGCAGAAAGTAAAGATATTTGGATATACACAAAAACACATTCATAATAAAATAAGGAGGCACACCCATGACAATTACAGTCCTCATCTCTGTAACTGGTCACATGGTCTAGCTAGTATTTATAACTACCTTCTACTCTCCATTCTGTATTCCCTTTGCCCTCAGTAAGCACCTGAGCTGGTCCTAGTTCTTTACCTGGTTGGGAAGGGTCTGGGCCATTACTAGTCCTGCCTGGATTGGATTGTTGTAGTGTCCATTGACCTGACCCACAGGGCATGGTAACGCTAAGAAACCCCCTAGGCATCTCCTGTGTCCTAGACTCACCCCTCCTTGCCTCTGTTGTGGAATGGCCATCCAGCTCCCCCTTGGTGGTCAGGAGCGGTCACCCAGCCAGCACAGCAACCCCTCCTTTGCCTGTTGAGTCAGATGCATCAGGAGCCCAAAGTGGCCAGGTGACAGTCTTAACTTGCAGTTCAGTTGAATCATTGTTGAAGCTCACCTTCTCAATATGTATTTAAGTAGGGACACTTTTATTCTAGAATGCCTATATTTTACAATTCACCTGCGATAAAATAGGGTATTAGGCAGAGATAGCAGGCTGGTATCATTTATCAAATTAGGGAGCAAGATTCCCGAATGCAGTGTTCCTAAATCTTCAGCAAAGCATGGATTTCTTTGCATGAAAAAAATACTAGCAGAAGTGCTAATGTTTACTGTATTTCTGTGTGAAACCCAAACTCTTACAAATAAAGTATAAGCAAAACCACAACAGCAGTAAAGTTCAAGTTAACAATGAGGGAGTGTGATGGATGGATTTTGCCAGAACTCACTTGCTGCCCCCTGTAGGCCTAGGGATGGTACTGGTGGCCGTGCCCTGCGGTGACCCTGCTCGCTGCCACTTGTTTAGGTGTCACATACACCCCTGTGCTTCTCTCAGCGGCCCATGACAATGAAAGCTGTACACTTTTTGGAACATGCTTTGTCACATAGTTTTATGGGCCAGATAGTTAAGGCTTACTGACGGGAAAATGTCGGGTTTGTAACTGATCGCTGCAAAAGAGAAGTTTTACTTTTAACCACCAAAATCAAAAGGAAGACACTTACAGGTATGAGGCAGTTGTGAATGAACATTGTCGTCTTAGCGTTAGGACGCGCCAGCCCGGGTAGCCAGACATGTTCATGAACCCACTGAAATAAGTACTTTAATATCTGACATTCCAGTTGGTGATGGAGGCCAAAAGTGATCGCAAAACAAAACAGAGCACTAAAATTTTATGTCAATACTTACTTGCTAAATGGCCATCCATATAATTCTGAATATATTTGTGGCTCATTGTTTTTTAAATTACCCAGTGAAAAAGTTTCTGTGAAGAGCTCATAGTCTCCCAGGATATGTCCGCAGGCCTTCGGAGGTCTGAGGTGAGACACACTGATGGGACGAGCACCAACCCTTGAAGTTCCAGGGGAGGCTACTGAACCATTGTGAGAACTTAGGCAAGCCTCTCTGGGCATCGCACTCCCGATTCGTGGCCAATGTCACCACCAAGTTTGCTGGACTTCGGAGCCCATGCTGTTCCCCCTTCAGTCAGAAGGCTTGGACTTTTGAGTCTCCAGAACTCTCTGTCGGGCTTTCATTTCGGTCATTAGCCTCAGAAAGGAGGATCCTGACCAGAAAGCATTGCGTAGTGGTGGGCTCCCCCGGGGGCAGGGGAGGTCACGTTATTCTCTGAGACTACACTGATGATAAAGCCCTCGCTTTTTTTCATTGTAGATTCTGATTCCCAGCATAGCCACGAAGTGATGCCTCTCCTCTATCCTCTCTTTGTCTACCTCCATCTCAACCTGGTCCAGAACAGCCCGAAGAGCACAGTGGAAAGCTTTTACAGTCGCTTCCATGGGATGTTTCTGCAGAACGCTAGCCAGAAGGATGTCATCGAGCAGCTCCAGACCACTCAGACCATCCAGGACATCTTGTCCAACTTCAAGCTTCGAGCATTCCTAGATCATAAGTACGTGGTCCGTCTCCAGGAAGACAGCTACAACTACCTTATCCGCTACCTCCAAAGTGACAACAACGCCGCCCTGTGCAGAGTCCTCACCTTGCACATCCATCTGGACGTGCAGCCTGCCAAGAGAACAGATTACCAACTCTACGCCAGCGGCGGCTCCTCACGAAGTGAGGGCAACGGCTTAGAGCCCACCGACATGCCCGCCCCGATTCTGCAGAACGAGGCTGCCCTGGAGGTCCTGCAGGAGAGCATCAAGCGCGTCAAGGACGGCCCTCCCTCCCTCACCACCATCTGTTTCTATGCCTTCTATAACACGGAGCAGCTGCTGAACACCGCAGAGATCTCCCCAGACAGCAAGCTGCTGGCTGCGGGGTTTGACAACTCCTGTATAAAACTGTGGAGTTTACGATCCAAGAAGCTGAAATCAGAACCCCATCAAGTAGACGTGTCCCGCATCCACCTGGCCTGTGACATTCTGGAAGAGGAGGTATGAATATCCGTTTTTCTTCCCTACCTCTGCCCTGCTGATTTGCTTAGAATATTCTTTCCAAACTTGACTGGTCTGATGGAGAATGGGTGTCTTTATTTCCCTCATCCTCCAGCTAAAGCCAAACTAATGCCCTGTAACCTATAGCCATTGAATTCCTGCCCGTGCCTAGCATCGGAAAAGAGGAAAACTCTTTTTAGCAACATAACTGAATGTTACTAATGAATGGTCAGAACTGATTACTCTCTGAAATGTGGATAACATGGCTAAGCCTAATTGAAGGCCTTTAGCCAATATTGAGATTTACAGTAAGGGCGTGGGCATGTGGCATTTGTGCAAATGTACACGGTCACAAGTGAATGCATTTTAAATGGTGATAAATAGTGTGCTGTTTTCCAGTCTCATCAACAGTGAGCAGGAACCCGGGCTCCTGTGCTCCCACCACCCCCCGGGGCTGTCAGCCTTCCCCGGGCCATGTGATGAGCCCTCGGCTTCACGGGCCCAGGCGGTTCCGAACCCCACTCTGAAAGGGGCCCAGCAAGTATAGGTGACATTTCACCCATCCCTCAGCGTAACGGCCCTGTTCGCTCTGTGTGGGGCTGGTCATTGAAAGCGGTGGCCGAGTGGCCTGAGTTTGGGGCCCCTAAGAATCGCTGCCTTAGGGGTGGGCGCAGGGAGATAGGAGTTGAACCTCGAGGAGTTCACTTTTCCCTGAGAGTGGCCCACGCAAGCCGAGGGCTGGAATATTCTTGTCACGTCACTGCTGAAATTCTTTGCTTGGGGTTGAAAAATTAAGGATTTCTTGTTTTTAAAATTGTTGGAGTTAATTTGCAGTTGCTGGTAGGATACTAAGAATATTGCGTGCACAGATTAAACTCTTTTTTCCAATTCCTGTTTTCTTAGTCACCTTCCAATTAGTCGTAATATCCTTTGAAATTTTGTTTCCTACAACTGAGACAGTATAATTAGAGGAGTTTGTTATGAGGAATAAAGAGTCTAAATTCTAATGTACAAACTTTGGTTTCTAGGATTTTATAGTAGTACTCTCTAAAATCTTTTTTTTTTTAATTGCACATGTATTGAATTATTGGATTTCTCTTTTCCTTGGAGACAGTTCTAGCCTCTTGGGGGCTCTTCACGTGCAACTGAGGACTACTGTCCTAATTTACTTACGTTTCTCTGTAAATACAGAAGTTGTATTTCTACTGGCTTATTAGTTTGGATGATACTGAATTAGGGAATATTCTAGGCATTAAAAATTAATATAAAGAAAGATAGCAAAGGTAGATATAAAGACAGAAAGAGCATTAGACTAAAATAAAAAATTTTTGAGATTCTCCCCTGGTTCTGTGACTTGTTCTATAAAGGCTTCCAGATATCAAAGGGCATGTATTTGATGATCTGGAAGTGAAGAATGTAGTGAATTCCAGGAAGAAATTAATTATGACTGGCGTTGGGAGGGGTAACACGGGAAGCACCATGGTGCCACTCTCTATTCAGGAGAGTATGGTGGCCCAACTTAGGGCAGTGATGGTGGACAGAAACACGGTGGATGGGTTAGACGAGAGCTCAGCCCAGGGCTAATGGCAGGGCTGTGGCAAAGGAGGGGTCCACGGGCGACACCGGTGTCTCGGGATTGAACAGCTGAGCGCCTGGTGTGAGGTGCCACCCACCTCGAAGAGCACACAGGACATCAGAGCAGCAGGTAGTTGCTTTAAGTATCTTTCTGGTGTATTCATCCTTATCCGTACTGAAAGTAGTGAAGACTCTAGCCTCTGCTTTCCTTAAGAACAGATTTTTTTCTTAAACTTTAGAACTAAAGTTGAGCTTCCCTGTTCTGTTTTTGAGGGGTTTCCTGCCTGTGATTTCTGCACCCCCCCCCACCCATTTTGTCACAGCAGTTTGGGGAGGTTTTCTTTTTCCTTTCTGTCGAGAAGCATTTTATAGCAAAGCAAGGTATAAATTAGTTCTGTTAGTTGGGTTTTATTGTTTCTTCCGTGAGAATTTGGACGACTTTTCTCCTCGAAGAATTCACCATTAAAATCAGGGCTTTTAATGCAGAGTCCACAAACTCACGTACCTATGGGAGCCAAGCAGGTAAAAGCAGATGGTGAAACCACCTGCACCAAGGAGATGGCAGGAAGGAAGAGCACCGTGCAAAGCAAATTAAAAAGCCAGTTTGCAGTTGCTGCTCTAACCTTTGTGAAGCAATAACTGTTGCACAAATCAGCGGGTACAACATTTTAACAGTGGGCATTTAAAACAGTGATCAGACCCAGGAATTCCATTTCTAGGTATATAACCAAGAAAATTGAAACCGTATGTCCACACAAAAACTTGTACACAAGCACTCTTAGAGGCATTATTCGTAACAGCCAAAACATGGAAGCAGCCCAAATGCCCATCAGCCATTAACGGGAAAACAGATACTCCATACAATGGCATAGTATTCAGCCATGAAAAGGAGTGGAGACACGTGATACGTCACAATGCTGTCACGTGGATGAGCCTTGTAATCATTATGCTGGGAGAAGATGCAGTCCCAAAGACCCACACGTTGCAGGGTTCCACTTGCAGGGAACATGCAGAGCAGGCACGTCCGCAGACACAGGACGTAGGCCGGTTCTGGTCAGGGGCGGGGACCGTGCATTGGGAGGGGACCGCTCCCTGGACGGTCTCTGCTGGGGGTGACGACAGCCTTCTGTGCCCAGACGGTGGCGGGAGTCTCGCAGCTCTGTGAACACTTCAAGAGAGTGAATTTAATCATGTGACTTCTAACTCAGTTTTTTAAAAGAATCAAACAGTAACCAAAAGGTCTATGGAAGCACAAAAATTCTGTTACTTTTGCCAAATGAAGCTGGGTTTACAGCACCGCCATATAGCTTCTGTTACCTGCGCTTCAAAGATGGTCTAGGTTCACCTCTGAAAAGCTGTGACGTGGCAGAGCAGTGCCCCTCCCCCCGGGACCCATAGCCCCTCTGCAGACACTCAGAGAACCAGCGGGGCCTGCACTCCAGCCTTGACACGAAGTGCAGCTGGGAGCGAGATCCAGCGCTCACCGCCGCTGGTTGGGGGCCGAGTGTTTTTAGTGCGTGAGCAACGTGGCAACACCACCGGCCTTTGCTCTCCTCTTCAGTTACTTGCACACAGCTTACCCCCGCCCCACTGCCAGTCCCCTGCCCCCTCGGCCCAACAGCACGACACCTGTGTGCGGTGGCGCGCCGTTCTTTCCCCGTTCCGGTGATCTTCAAGTCGGACAGTCGAGAACTCTGTGTTGTCAGCAATACTCCGGTCTGTACTTTATATATAAAGCCGTCGCCTAGAGGTGTGCTGGCCCGTGGGATTACAGTGTGGGCCATACATGTAATTTAAAGTTTTCAGTAGCCACATTAAAACAGTAAAAAGAAATAGTCAAAATTAATTTTAATAATGTATTTTATTTAATCTAGCATGGCAAAAATATGATCACTTAACATGTAAGCAGTATTCAAAACATCATGAAACCTGGTACTTTCTCCTTTTTTGCCTTAAGTCTTGGAAATCGGGTGTGTGTTTCACACCTAGAGTCACGTCCATTCACGCTGGCTATGGTCACCATGTCTGACCGAGACCAGGCTGCTGTGGTCTCTCACACAGACGCAGCAGCTCGCCTGCTTCCGAGTCTTCGCCCACTCCCAGACCCAGGCACCTTGGTTTCCTTCCGTTCCACTGGCCACTGACGGGAGGACAGCCCAAGGCTAAACCCCAGGCCACCCCCTCCCGGTACTCGTGATCTGGGACCCACCGGAGTGCTGCTGAGGCACCTGGAGCACCCTGGTCCGGGAGCAGGCACCCACCGCTAGTCTGAGGTTTTGGGGACTGCGTGGTGTCAAGCGTGGTTACGGCACGGGGGCGTGTCAGACCACAGAGATCTGTTCACTTCTCTGTTTTTTTCTACTTCAGGCACGTTTTATAATGGGCATTTTACAGTTTATTATCACACGATACACTTTACATATTAAAAATTCTGATTCTGGATGCACGCCCGTTCACTGTGAAGGGTTCGGTGAGGTGCAGGGAGTTTGGGGTGCAGCCCCGTTAGGTGAGAGGCAGGAGGGAGAATCTGGGGGCTGGGCATGTGTGCATCAGCGCTGGCTCAGGGTTTCAGCTGGCCTGTGCCGAGGAGGGCGGCCCTGGCGGGGCCACTGAGTTGAGCCACAGAAGAAAACTCGGCTGGCTATTTTAAGCTGCAGTGCTGGCAGAGAGCTGACAGCCAGCAGGGACGTTCTGGTGTCCCCATTTCTCGGTCTAGAGAGTCAACTAAGCACCTTTCCATGGGCTGGTGACAACAGTCATCAAGACCCATGGGGCCCTGGCCAGGTGGCTGAGTTGGTAGTAGGAGCGTCATCCCGCTGCACCAGGATTGTGGGTTCAATCCCCAGTCTGGGCATGTGCAGGAATCAACCAGTGAATGCATAAATAAGTGAAACAGCTACTCAATGTTTCTCTTTCTCTCTCAAAATCAGTGAGTGCATTTTTTTTTAATTCCTTTAAAAAAGAAAACACCCTTGGGGAGGGCCAGCTTGACTCCTTGAGTCCTGGTGCACCCTCCCCAGCTCCGAGCGTGCCCTTTAGGTCCCCACTAAGGGGGCAAGGGTCGCTGCATAACCTCCGGCTCCACACGAAGACTGTTCAGGCCTCAGAGACAGTAGGTACGTGCCCTTGGCTCCACCGTAACCTTTCAGAGGAGCTTTGTGCAATCCACCCAGCGTCGTTCTTTGCTCCCACAGTTCCTAATAAACTTTCTGAGGTACGGCAATGAGTCATTCTTGAAATTTTAAAGTGTGTTGTTGTAACCTCTTTGGAAGGGAAAATTATTAATATTCTTGGTTAACACTCAATAGAACCTTAAGCTCCCAAATGCTTATGTATTTTTAAAGTTGAGTGTCTGGAATAACCATTTTGAATATTCATGGACACCCATGTTTATTTTTCTTAACTTTCTCTCAAATACGTACACATTGGAGGTGTTTGTTTTATTTGGAATTTAATAGTTTTCAAACAGGAGTTAAAAGGATGCCATTTTCCTAGACAAGAACCTAAAGCTCACAAAGATAGTTATTTCTAAGCCAACAAAGCCCATTGATTTGAGAATCATCATCTTTCCCCTCATTCTTCCAGTGTTTAATGAACACCCGTTTTAACCTAAGAATTCCAGGCGGGAGACAGCCGTAGCTTTAAGGAGCTGGCCTGCGCGAGGATGAGGGGAAGGTGGGCTTGGGGCACAGAGAGTGTCCTTGTGGGGCGGAGGGTGAGGACGGGGCCTCGCAGTCCCTGTCCCGTGGGCAGCTGTCTCCTCTTCTGTCCCCACACCCAGGGATCGTTTCCAAGAGTCACATGAGTCACTTGGCTTTAAATCGGCTCTGAATCCAGCCTTGTTTTGTTACCTTGGGGAAATGTTTGAGACCCTCCAGAAAGTCATGGTTTTGTTTCCCTTTGGACGCCAACAGTTTATGCCTGGCCACGGGCGGGAGTGTATTCACTGACACCCGCACCTCTCTGGCTTTCTCTTCTGGTGTGTGCGGGGTGTGTTTTGGCTGCACTCCCACCGTGGCTCCGCACGAATCATGAACCGCAACCACGTCGGCCTTCCCCCTCGACCCCAGGCCGGGGGGCAGTCAGCATGCCCGGACCTGTCCTCGTGGACCCGATGCGGGGGGCAGTGTGGCTTACAAAGCAGCTAGCCCTGACCAGCCCATAGAACAAAAGAATCTACGAACTGAACATAAATGCAAAAGCCAGTCGTTTCGAGTGGCAGACACCAGAATTAACTACGCAAGTTACCACAGGGTGGCTCCCTTTTAGCCAGCTTTTGGGAGCTGCAATCCTCCAGCTAAGAGTAAGATCCACAGTCTTTACTGTATCTTTTAATTTGATGTAGTCTTGGCCCCCACGTGAATTTAAGGAAAGCCGTTTGTAAGCTGCGAGGGACTTTTTTTTTTTTTTCCAGTTACGCACTTACGAGCCTTAGGTTTCCTGGGGTCGCCCTTAAGGAGAAGGCCACTGTCATTTACTGGGTGGATGCTATTTCCCACGCACTGCCTCCCCGCCCCCCAGAGGTTTTGTTCTCCACGCAGCCCACTAAACCTTTTCTGTGTGTCTCTCTTGCACGCCCGCCCGGCGCCCCCAGGATGACGAGGACGACGCGGCCGGCGCGGAGATGAAGGTCCTGCGGGGGCACTGCGGGCCGGTGTACAGCACGAGGTTCCTCGCGGACAGCTCAGGGTTGCTCTCCTGCTCCGAAGACATGTCCATTCGGTACTGGGACCTCGGGAGCTTCACCAACACTGTGTTGTACCAGGGGCACGCCTACCCGGTGTGGGACCTGGACATCAGCCCGTTCAGCCTGTACTTCGCCAGCGGGTCCCACGACCGCACCGCAAGGCTGTGGTCGTTCGATCGGACGTACCCGCTGAGAATATACGCAGGCCACCTGGCCGACGTGGACTGCGTCAAATTCCACCCTAATTCGAACTACTTGGCCACGGGCTCCACCGACAAGACCGTCCGGCTGTGGAGCGCCCAGCAGGGGAACTCGGTGAGGCTCTTCACGGGCCACCGCGGCCCTGTGCTCTCCCTCGCCTTTTCGCCCAACGGTAAGTACTTGGCGTCGGCCGGGGAGGACCAGCGGCTGAAGCTATGGGACTTGGCCTCTGGGACCCTTTACAAAGAACTGAGAGGCCACACGGACAATATCACCAGCCTCACCTTCAGCCCGGACAGCAGCCTGATCGCCTCCGCGTCCATGGACAACTCGGTGCGCGTCTGGGACATCAGGAACACCTACTGCAGCGCGGCGGCCGACGGCTCCTCCGGCGAGCTCGTGGGCGTGTACACCGGGCAGATGAGCAACGTGCTGAGTGTGCAGTTCATGGCCTGCAACCTCCTCCTGGTGACTGGAATCACACAAGAAAATCAGGAACATTGATTTTTGGGTTTTTTTACCTTCATTGTGACGGACTCGGGCAGCAGCGGCGTCGAGGGCCTCCAGATTGTAAGTCTTACGCTCGAATCACTGACTGACTGTGAAAGACCCCCCTTCTCTCCCCCTTCCCCTGTGCAGACATCCTGAGCACGCCACCCTTCAGTCAGTCCCCCAAATGTCAAAGGACTGGGGGGAGGACGGATGGCGATCAGCGGACCTGAGATCAAGAATGAGACGCTCTGGAGGTCGGACGGCAAGCTCTTCCAAAGATGCCGCTGTGTCCCGGCGCCAGCACCTCTGTGTCCGTCTCGCTTTCCCCTCTGAAACTGCGATGCTGATGCTGCTGCCGCCGCGGCCGGCTGCCACGCGTGATCCCAGGACGGTCGCAGAGGGCTCTCGGGCGGAGCGCTGCCGCGGGGTCGCGTGCCCTCAGCCGCCGGGCGGAAGGGGATCCCCACTGATGCAGGGGTGCAGGGGCGGGGACGAGGCACGGAGGCCAGGATCGCCCTGGAAAAGGTCTTTCCTTTCCCGTGATTACAGAGAACAGGATTTTTTATTATTATTATAATTATAGTAATTATTATTATTATTGAGAAGAGGAAACCTAGCACTGGCAGAGTGTCTTCTCTGCTCCCACCTTTCAGGTCTGACTCCTGACACTGGCTGTGATACTTGGAATTTTTGAGGTTCAGGGAATTCAGAGAATTTCGTAGCACAGTGTATCGTGAGGAAGGGACAGTCTCTTGGGGACAGAAGCCACCCCCCACCAGCGTGTTTCTAGCAGCGGGTGGGCGGGTTGATGGAGAACGCCTTGGGCTCTTGCAGGGATGGTGGAAACGAAAGATGCTCTTCATAGCTGCGCTCCTGTGAACGGTTCTCCCTGAAAGGCCATATTGTCATAAAGAAAAGAAAATAACTTGAGACGATAGGTCGCAAGGTAGAATGAGAAAATGTTGAATTTCCACATGAGCATCTATTCCGAGGTGTGGCTTTCTCAGTCTCTTTCTCCTGGAGCTCACCTGCTCCCACCTCCTGCAGTAGCAGTGTAATCAGCCCTTCGTGAAAAAAGTATAAGGACGAATGAACACATATAAAACTTGGAGGATGAAGCAAGCTCCAGTTTGTGGGGAAAGGATTAACTATTTCTGTTTTCTGAAAAGAGTTATTTTGTATTTTGTTTTCTATTAAAATGTATTTAGTTTCCAAACAAAAAGTGTTGGCATCTCATTTAAGCTGTGAGGAGAGAGAGTGCGTGGCCTGTCCCGAGGCTCCCCTTCTGGGTGACAGCCCGTCCCGTAGGCCAGACCAGCCCCCAAGGACTTGCATCCGTTCTCGCCTGCTCGTGTAGTCTGTCCCGCTGACCTTGAACCCCGACTCCTTGGGTGTTCACAGGGACTACCAGTAGCATTCAGGACCGTTTCTGCATCCAGGATTGCCGGTTGCTGACCGGGGACAACATATATTTTGCCATCTAGAGTTATTTTGTAAGATTCTATTTCCTTTTTTTTTTAATCAAATTATGACATTGCTAAGGGGCATAAGACCTGTGTTATTTAATTCAGATTATTTATTGAACAATCCCAAATAATGGACTCATTCAAAGATTTAAATGATGCCAGAATTTGTAAAATGTACTTAAATATGTAACACTCTGCAAGGACACCAGAATTATCAGGAAATTAAATAGGAAGACTCTAGAATTTTGTGCCAAAAAACTTTTTTTACTTGAGCCTAAGGTGCTAAATAATAGGAAATGTTCCTTATAGATACAAATGTGTATCTGAGACATTGTAAGAAGGATCCTTTGGCAACTTAGCCAGACAGCATCGCTTTCCACATGGTCTGCGGGAAAAGCCTAGAATTCAAATGCATTCTTCGCTATAATGAGTAGGTACTTCAGTTAGATTGCTGGTGTATTGCTAGAAATAATGAAATTTATAAATTGGACGGAGTCATTCTCAGAAGTGGAAAGATCACCGATTCGGGAGGTTTTGTGTTTGTCTTTTAATGCAGGACTTCTTTGATTAGACACAAATGTATCCGGTTGGTCAGTCTTCACATTATCAATCATGTATATACTTTGTGATTTCAATTGAAGCGCTTAATGATCTGTGTGTTTGGCCTTTTTTCTTTTTTTTACTTCTGTTGCGAGCTCATTTTAAGGTGGGGTCATGGAACTTCATAGAATGCCTGTCGCTGTGTCCCCAGTGTCTTAGGAGACACTGTGAGGGGCATGCGTGTGCGGGGGTGTCCACGGGATGCCCGGCCCTGTGGGCACCCCCCAGGTTGCTGTCTCATGCGCTTAATCTTCAGAGCATTCCTGTGGTGTGGACAGGACTGGCGATGTTACCGTTTTGTATTTGAGATACCTAAAGCTGAGAAAACCTATATTATTTATTTTTGGAATAAAGAAACTTTAGAGTATTCGGTTATTTTGAACCACAGTGATAAATCTCCTCAATGTGTGTTGGGGGGATGGACAGGGGAACAGCTGAAATTTCTTAAGACTGTCAGGCTCAGAAAATCTGACTGTAATTTTAATTTAGGAGTAGACTGGTCAAAAGAAAGAAAAATTAGGATAAAGGAAAGTAATGAAGACAGACAAAATAGGAAATTATTTCAAGTTTTTAAATTCAAAGTCCAGCTTCTAAGGATATGATTACTAGCTTTTCATTTGTTTTATTTGTGTATTAAAAATGTCTTGGTTGTATAAAAAATATTTGAGTATGTAGGCTTCTCATTTTGCTATTGCCCAGATTGGTATTTAAGTATATGGATTAAAAACTTAGTCTGTACTTCAACTTGGCTTTCAGTTGCATGTTTTAGAAGAGTGTCTATTGAATCTATGCTCAGCCCGCACCAAAAATTCATATTATCGACACCTACACAGCAGCCAGATGACTCTGAAACTGCCTCGCGTGGTAAACACAATCTTCATGGTAGAATTGAAGGAATCCAGATGTTCCTTGTCACTTGATCTATTAAAGGACCTCTCTGATACTTCCTCTGATTGTCTGAAATGGCTAAAAAGAAGCATCTTAATTATTAACTATGTGTCATGCCTGCGGACATTGTGTTAGTGGGTGGAAAGACAGTGGTAAGCAGAACTGATAACAGTCCATGGATTGAACTCATAGTTTAGAGACGGAGCAGATATTAATCAAATAATGCCATGAATATATAATTCCAAACACCAGTGAGTGCGCTCGCCACACTGGAAGCTATGGAAGAATACATCCAGGGATCTAACTCAGGTGAAGCTTTCCAAGAAGCCTCCCTGAAGCAATAACCATTGAGCTGAGCCCTGGTGGCGAACAGGAGGTAGCCAGGCAGAGCCCGGAAGGAATGGTCCCGACCCCCCTCCCCCCACCCCATGGGAAGACCCCATACACTCAGAGACGTCCGTCCGCCGGGGCTGGGCAGTGTGGCCGGGAACAGGACAGCACGACAGGGGTGTGGGTAGTGGGCAGGGCGCAGGGCGCTGACCAGAGCTGGGGTCTTACCCCAGGAGGGATGGGGGCCATTGCAAGGGGCAGGGTAGGGAGGTCATGCAGTCCAATTCCTGCCTCAATGTCGCTGGCAACGGGGCGACACTGACCCCACGCTGAGAGCCAGAGTGCCACCTCGACAGCAGATCACGCAGCAACAGTTGCGGAGCCCGGTCTGTGCTGAGCTCAGTCAGTACAGGGCTCCGCTGATGGTGGAAGCCCGCTGCTGTGTGCCCTATAGACCGGCGCCCGGGGCCGTGAGCTGAAAGCGGCCTCCAGCCGACATGGGAGGACCTGAGTCCCGCCAGCAACCAGCAACCGCAGGGATGAGCCTAGGCACAGCTGCCCCAGCCGGGCCCTCAGGTGCGACTGCAGCCCCGGCTGGCATCTCGGTGGCGGCCCCTGCTGGACCTTGAGACACAGGCGCCCAGCCAAGTCCACCCGATTTCCAACTTACACAACAAACTGGGAGACATTAAATGTTGCTTTAACCATTCAAGTTTGGAGTTACTCCTTGTGCAGCAATAGATAATTAGCCCTTCTGCACACTTCGTAGCTCATTCTTATAACTGCCACCTTAGAGAATGTGAAACAGTTGCTGATTGTTTTGAACCCCTGGCAGCTCTAAGGAATCCATGAAGGGTGTGTGCGTGAGAATGAGGAGACCAGTTGGGTCACTGCAGGCGTCCAGGGAACAGGTGAGGGTGACTTGGGCTGGCCTGGCCACGGTGGCAGTGGAGAGAAGTAGGCAAGACTGTGACTGTTTTTGGGCTGGACTTCATCCTGGGCTGCGTGGGGAGGAAGGGACTCGCGGCCGGCCCACGTGTTTCCGGCATGAACAGCTCGGCGGGTAGGCTGCCCTTTATGGTGATGAAACTACTAGAGGAAGGTCAGGAGTGGAGCATGGGACCTCTTAGCTGTGAGGTGCTTTATGAGAACCAGGTGGGATGGGCGTTTGGAGAGGCACTCCCGCAGCTCAGCAGAGAGGCCTGCGCTGACCTGCTGATTTGGGACCTGTGTGCATTAGGGGGCTTTATGCCACTTGAGACAGAAATCTGACTCCCAGTGGTTTTAAAAACGAGGAATCGCTGGTTCACGCAACAAAGCAGAGGTCCAGCAGGTTTGTGTGCAACTCTGGGGGCCCCTCATGCCTCGCTTCCGCTCTGCTCCATCACGTGGGTGCGTCTGTCACAGGCAGGCTTTGCCTGTGGCTGTGTGGGGACGGCTAACAGCGATGAGGGCTGGGCTCCCCTCAGTCATGCCTTGTGGGAATGTGAGCCCACTTTCTATTCCTCGCTCTTAAGAGCAAGGGGGGAATCTAGACACCCCATCAGACCTCTCCAGTTTGCATTAGGCCTGGTAATCACCAGTGACCTGACAAGGGCAAGAGTCAGTGGCAGGTAGCTGGAATTAGAAGCCTTGCAAACAGGTGGGGTTACCGAGGATAAGAACACAGAGCGGGAGGAGAGGTGACTTCAAGGCTCCACCTTGACGTGCTCTAGCATTTCCAGGCCAGAGAGGAGGCGCAGCCAGACAACAGAAAAAAGTGAGAGGGCATGGTCCCCGGGGCCGAGAGGATGAGGTACGTCAGAGCAGGAGTGGTCAGCTGTGCTGGGGAGCCGAGGGTTCAAGTGAGGTCAGGATTAAAGAATGTCCATCGGATTTAGTGGGGAGGCGGCCGACAAGCGTAGCACGAGCACTGACACTTGAGTAATGGAAGATGCATGGAATGAATGGGCTGAAAGGTGGAAAGGTTAGTAAATCCGGACACTTCATTGATAATAGGTGACACGTACAAGAATGGAGGAAGGACGGAGTTTTTACTGCAGTGTTACAACAACAGGCTGTGCAGAAGAAAAAAGTGAAACTGGGCCCCTGCTTCGCTAGACACGAAAGTCAATTTCAGGTAAATTAAAGTCTGCGATGTGAAAAGCAGACATATAAACCATTTAAAAGAATACCCTCGTGACCTTTGGATTGGAAAACATTTCTAAAGAAACAAAAAGCCCACCCTGGCTGGTGTGGCTCAGTGGATGGAGCACCAGCCTGAGAACCAAAGAGTTACCGGTTCGATTCCCAGTCAGGGCACATGCCTGGGTTGCGGGCCAAGTCCCCAGTAGGCGGCGCATGAGAGGCAACCACACATTGATGTTTCCCTCTCTTTGTCCTCCTCTTCCTCTCTCTCTAAAAATAAATAAATAAAAACTTTAAAAAAAGAAAAAGCCCCAACCCAAAAGGGAGATTAAATTCAAAAACATCCATTCATCATCAAAAGGAGCACAAAAAGCAGTCCTGGACAGGCCACGGACGCGAGAAGGCAGAGGGAACACCTGAGCGACAGAGCTGTCTAGAGCAGCAGTGCGCATGGGAATCGGCTGTGCCACGCAGTGCAGTGCTCGGTGGTCTGTCTAGTCCCACGGACGACACTGGGAGCACGAACAGCTTCCACAGTCCCCTGCTGTCTGGTGAGGCAGCTGCCAGCCACTTGGAGCTACTGAGCATTCCAAATACAGATAATGTAACGGAGGAACTGAGTTTTTTCAACTGTGTCCATTTCAACTTAACCACGTGAGACTAGTGTCTTCACAGTCTCCAGAATTCTAAAACACATGAACTACAAATGAGTGAGTCAACAGAGGGGAAAGGCAAAAGTATTAAAGGGAAACATTTCACAAAAATCCAGCTGGCCAACAAACAAAAAGTACTCAACATGGTATTACTCGGGGAAACACAAATTTCAAACAGCGAGGTACCATCGTGCACCCCTCAGACCAACAGCATCGCAGGGCCTGGCAGAGCCAAGCGTCAGTGCATCAGGACCCCCCCCCCCGCCATTAAGGGTGAGAATGGAACTGGCGACCTGTGCTGAGCCCCAGTGTGCTGTCACACAGCAGAGGGGAACAAAGACATGCTCTGTCGTTACTGGCAGCCCCACCACGGGCCCAGAAATGCACACGTACATTCACCAGGATCCACGTGCACAGATGTCCACAGTAACACTGTCCGTCATCTCCCAGCGCTGGGACCCCACTACACCACGTGAAAGGCAAATACCTCATCGCATAGTCATATCCTGATAAACCCTACAAGAAGATGGACAGATTTAGAGTCACAGGCAACGGCATGGATGTAACTGCAGTGTTTCGCTTTGTTGAGAATTTTTATAAGAGTGTATTTGAGCCAAACGGACAACACAGGCCAGGGGAGCAAGATCTCAGATGCTCCCCAGAACAATATGCAGCTTCTTTTTATGCATTTTGAAATTAAGGAGGGACCTTCAGTACTGAGTGAAGAGAAACACCAATTATTCTTACAGAAGAATGCCACTTAGAATTCAAACCAAACAAAACTAACTGTGTATTTCAGTGTGCACCCAAAGCAACAAAACCACACTGGGGAGTGGGGCTCCTGACCCACCTGGAAGGAATGGCGGGCTGTTATCTGCTTGAACTTGAGCACCGTTGGTTAGGTCACACAAAAAAAAGTTTTATATCATTGTGTTTAAATGTTTCTGGAATTAAAATGTTGAGGAAGTGGGAAGTGGAGGAGCTAGCGGTGCAGACAGATCTTGGAACACTTAAAAGGGGGCAGAGATTGAGACGTGTAGAATCAAGAAAGGCTTGTTTCATTTGCTGTTTGTTTTGTTTTTGTTTGTTTTAGTGGAAGTTCCGAAGCAGGGCCTTTCCCACTTTTACACCCAACGGACAGTATTTTACACTGCGACCTAGTGTGATACGCAGACACCGTGATACGGAGTCGAAGGCTCATTGACTATAAGGGACACCTTATTGTACGCAGCAGTTTTTAAACTCATCAAATGATGAACATGCTTTCTTGTCACTTGGATGTTCAATTGTATTTTGTTTCCTTAGATTTAAATACTTTTTTTTTAAAAAAAGATTTTATTTATTTTTTGACAGAGGGGAAGGGAGAAAGAGAGGGAAAGAAACATTGATGTGTGGGTGCTTCTCACACACCCCCTATTGGGAACCCGGCCCACAACCCAGGCATGTGCCTTGACTGGGAGTCGAACCTGCAACCCTGTGCTTCGCAGACCAGTGCTCAATCCACTAAGCTATACCAGCCAGGACTAGACTTAACTGCTTTTCATAACATAAGTGAAGTCCATTGTATTGCTGTTCCCAAAACATCTCTACACTGAGTCCAAGTTTTTGAGTCAGTACTAGGTTTTCTCCTCTGTGTCCTCCAATACACATTTAATGAAGCATTTTAAAATTATCTCCAGGCTGCCCTGGCTGACGTAGCTCAGTGGATTGAGTGTGGGCTGTGGACCAAAGTGTCACAGGTTCAAT